GCTGTGATGTCTCTTAACTTGGCATCTGAACCTTCTAAGGCAGTGTAAGCACACTGTTGGCATGACCAGCCCCTGATCTCTGGCTGGTAATCAGAAGTTAAGTGTTTGCAGGTGGCTATGTGGTTACACCAGCTATTTTAGCTTTTTAATGACGAGTTATATCAAACATGTCAAATTGAAATAGAGCAAATTTAGTTTTTCTTTTCCTGTAATAGTGCCACATCAGGCAAACATTATTTTTTTTTTAACACTGAAACCCCACATCCCTCTTTTTAAGTGATGCAAGAAGCCCAAGGAAGTTTTAAATGTCTTAATTTTGTCTGCAAAATAGTATAAGCAGTTATTAAAATAAAATCCAATTTAAATAAACATTCCACTGTTCTGAAAAGTAGGTGGAGCTCTGTTTTTCCCAAAAAAATTTTATTATTTTTGAGACAGCAGGGGCCTTTGGAAGTCCACTGCTATAGTTCAGATTATTTATGATTTCTTAATCTGTTTGACTAGCCCAAGTAAATGAGTCATACACTGACGAGCTCCAGAAAGATTCGGAATCTTTACTGGGATCTGGTGGAGATGACACAGCTAGAATACAGTCTTTTAGCTCAGCATTAGACTGTTTATATACTGCTTTTAAAAAAGTGATCATTTTTTGAAGCCACAGAAAGTATCAATCCACAGATAAAATGCTGCTGATACATGCCTAGAACAAATACATGTGGTTAGACTCACAGCAAAAAAACCACCAAAACCGAACCCAAAACCAATACAACAACTTGTTTAATGAAAAATCCCTGCATCCACACAGTTTATATTTCTGCTTCTGACTGCTCTTCGTGATAGTTAGCTCAGAAGGCAACACAGTCTTCTACAGGGAGTAGTTGCAGGTGAGAAATGACAGAGTGCACAAATATGCAAGTGTTAAATCACATTGAAAGAAGGAACATTTAAGAATGTCAGCAATCAGATAACCTAACTAGTAGAAAGGTGGATAGAGTCAAGCATTACAGCAAAACAAAGTCAAGTTCCTCTGAAGTCGCTGGCTTCGTAACTTGAAGGTTTTATCATGTTCTATTGCATCACCTGACCTTTCTTATCCCTTTCATTTTGATGAATTTCGTATATTTTAGAGCAACTGCTAAGACAACAATACCCTTGAAAATAAGTATGTATATTCTGATTTAGGGGTTAGATTTTCTAGGTTAGATTTTAACACAGCAAAGGGTAGTAAGGATAGACAATTTAAATTCTTGTAGTCTGAGGCCCGTAATAGTATTCACCGCAATAGTTGTGAAAATGGTACTGCTTTTCCCGAGCTGGGCACAGTTGGGCTGACAGACTTGTCAGCATCTTATTGTAATGCTTCTGTACTAAATTCCATATCCTGGAATTAAACAAGGTTGAAATCCCTTGGTAAAATTACTGCCTACAAACATATTCAAGGGGAACTAGCAAAGCAAATTCAGTGCTGGTTAAAGAAGTGTGATTCCATTGTTTGTTTTTTTATAGCAGTAGTGAACTTATGCATGTCAAACATCACAAGAATAGGACAGGCTCATAAAAAAAAAGTTTGACTCTATTGAACATAAGTCACAAATTGTAACTGCTAACTAGTACAAAAGCCAATAAAATAGGGCAATAAAAAAAAAGACCTATTTTGTCTTCAGCATTATATGGGGGAAGAGAGAAAGCTGGTCATTCCGAGACCAAAGTCTATTTATTCTCTGGATGCTGAGATTAAGTTTCCCTGGGACTCAGAGGGAAAGGAGGATATATTAGTGACATCGCATAGACTTTCAGCCCCCTACAGAATACTGAAACATTCTTCCACAGTTCAGATACCCTGATACTGCAATGAGAATGAAAGCTGAACATTTCTCCCTTTAAACTCCTTTGTTAGATTGTGAAGGAGTAGTACCTTTTCTGCATTAGATGGCACCTTAAAAAGTCCTCTGAAGTGAGAGAATCAACACCTATCCCCCAAAATTTGGTTGAGCAAAATACAGCCACAGTACCAGAATTGTTTACAGACAAGATTACAGACTCAGGAACTGGTTGGGAGAAATGGCTCAGTCTTTGCTCCTGATTTGTTCCCTCATCAACCTTGAGTGAACCCACCCCTCTGCTACCAACCCTCTGAACCACTCCTTCTCTGTAAAAAAATGCAATCCCAAAGTATTTTCTCTCACTCCTACACCAAAGAAAGCAAAGAGATGACCTTCACATCAACACTTAGTTTTGTGTGTCACCTGCACTGCAGGGTTGCTCTGAAAGTGTATTTCCTGATGTTTGTGGAGCTACTCGGGAACAAGCAGGTATTAAGGCATAGCAGCTTGATCGGGAAGCACTGTATCTGAACAGATGCTTCCCTCTAGATTTCCAGAAATAACCAAGACATTTGAGTGCACTGAGGATTTTGTTTGAAGTTATGAAAATAAACAGATGTATACTTTTTTAATACTATTTGTTGACTGGGATAAAGGGCAGGCTATCCACATACTGAATACCAAGGAGAAAAAAACCATAGAATAATTACCCAATGAATAAGAACTGTCCATGAAATGAATGAGTCAAGGATCTTGGGTTATGGTGGAGAAAATCACACTGAAGAACTGATGACCATGATACTTATTTTAGCTTTCTTATTAGACAACCAAACTACAAACTACATTCTAATATAGGCAGTACTTAATCATTTCAACAATAACAGTTGTGGTACTGAAGTACAGAGGAACCCACATCTAAAAACATATAGCTGGAACAGAAGAAGTTTTAATGCTAATAAATTCTCTTCAGCTGAATGTAAAAAAGGCGGCTTAATGAAAGTAATACCTTTATCAATATTTTTATACTATTATCAGTATTTTATGTTGATATCTATTTTTATATATTATATATTTTGATATACTTCTATGTATTTCTATTTCTATACATTTATATCAATTTTTATATTGGTATCTTTAATATCTTTATCAACGATCTGGTTGAAGGGATTGAGTGCTCCCTCAGTAAGTTTGCAGATGACACCAAGTTGGGCGGGAGTGTCGATCAGCTCGAGCGTAGGAAGGCTCTACAGAGGGACCTGGACAGGCTGGACCGATGGGCCGAGGCCTATTGTATGAGGTTCAGCAAGGCCAAATGCCACAGCCTGGACTTGGGTCACAACAACCTCATGCAACGCTACAGGCTTGGGCAAGAGTGGCTGGAAAGCTGCCCAGAGGAAAAGGACCTGGAGGTGTTGGATGACAGCCGGCTGAACATGAGCTGGCAGTGTGCCCAGGTGGCCAAGGAGGCCAACGGCATCCTGGCTTGTAACAATAGTGTGGCCAGCAGGTCTAGGAAAGTGATCATCCCCCTGTACTCAGCACTAGCAAGACCGCACCTGGAATACTGTGTTCAGTTTTGGGCTCCTCACTGCAAGAAAGACATTGAGGTGCTGGAGCATGTCCAGAGAAGGGCAACGAAGCTGGTGAAGGGTCTAGAGCACAAGTCTTATGAGGAGCGGCTGAGGGAACTGGGGTTGTTTAGTCTGGAGAAACAGAGGCTGAGGGGAGACCTTAACACTCTCTACAACTACCTGAAAGGAGGTTGTAGCGAGGTGGGTGTTGGCCTCTTCTCCCAAGTAACAACTGACAGGATGAGAGGCAACGGCCTCAAGTTGCGCCAGGGGAGGTTTAGATTGGATATTAGGAAAAATGTCTTCTCCGAAAGGGTTGTGAAGTTTTGGAATAGGCTGCCCAGGGAAATGGTTGAATAACCATCCCTGGAGTGTTTAAAAGCCCTCTAGATGTGGTGCTTAGGGACATGGTTTAGTGATGGACTTGGCAGTGCTAGGTTAACAGCTGGACTTGATGATCTAAAGGGTCTTTTCCAACCTAAATGATTCTATGATTCTAATCTATGGTGAGCAGCACAAGTTTCCTCATCTGAGATGCATCTATTCCTTTGCTTCAACAAGAAAATTCTACTCTTCTTAAGTGAGCATTAGAAAACCATCTTTTCTATCGCATGAGCAAAAATAAGTTTCTCTATGATCCTTTCAAGAATTTTTATTCCTCACAGCAGAATTAAGGATAAAGAGCAAGAACGGGAAGGCAGAAGTGAGTACTCCAAGTCTCTTGCAGGAAGTCCATAGTTCTGCGTCAGTTTTCTTTTAAATCACAACAAATCTTAAAATGATGTTCAGAAGACTGGGAAGCAACATCAATAGCGACATTTCCCAGGTACTTGAACAGCAGGAGATGAGACCCTGAACTGAACAGTGTAGTGCTATAAGTATACTCATGAATATCAGAGACTCTAGAAGACTAATACTGTTCAAAAGAAAAATAAGATACACAAGGTTTGTCTAGAATATATCCTTTATTATTTGGAATCTGTGTAAATTTTAACACGATTGAATTTCTACATCATTTTCTCTGTTTAAGCACATCCTGGTCTTTTCCAACAACCCCAATCAATTGCACCTTTATTATGTACAGTCAGTACATAACAGTCAATCCCCTTTTAGTGTGTTATGGCTTTGCACCAAGTATCAGATGTCAAAACAAACAGTTTAAGATGCTTCTTGTTAAAGGCACTTACTGTTCTTTAAATACACTTTCAAATTTAGTTCTATTGCATTAAGAAGCATATCTCTGGGATCATACTTTCATAACACAGCAGAAGAGTCCAAAAAGGCAGCATTAATAAAAGGGAAAAAAGGGGGTTTATGTTAAAATATGAAAATACTAAGAATTAACACAAACTTTCAGGATTTGGTCCTTACAAAACAGGCAACAGCATTCAGGCAATAGTGATTTCTTTTCTTAAATGCTAACAAAATAATATCCCCAAAAATGAACTCTTCCAGTTCCAGCGTATAGATATGTCTAAGTTGAGTAGCATACCCTCTAACACCACCCCCAATAACAATATAGCTTTTCAAGACTAACTACTGCTCCACTTCGGCTGTGAAGGAAGAAACCTCAAAAAGAGCATTATACATGCACATACTAGCAAGTCTATAATTCTGTGTCTCTGTATCTGGATGGCTGTCCATAATACCCCTTCTTAGAGTGGTCTGATAGCTGCCGACGGTACTCCTCCTCCTCCTCCGCATCACTGCCATAACTGCCACGGTTCTCTTGGTAAGGTCTAATAGGAGGTTTCTGGGGTTCTGGAGGTCTGGAGCTAACACAGCAAGACAGG